CAAGGGCGCTAGAACTGAAATTATGACTTATAAGATCCAAAAATTGCTTAATTTATCCAACATAAGATAGTCGATAATAAATTGTAAAGTTTTACTTATCTGAAATATACACTGAAATGTCCTCTTAGACACTAAAAAGCACTTGATTTTACGAAATTCATCCAAATGATCGTTACTCAAGCGGTTGTTGCTGAATTTATTACCGCTGTCCTTGTTGTACCAGCCACTGCTGTCTCGCCAGGAACGTTATAAATTAACCGGATTAAAATCACTTTGCCCTGGCCGAACACCAAAAGAGACAGGGGCAGGCAATAACTAGCGGCCCCTTTGACCACTCGTCTGACTCACTAATCGGATTAAGTTGATAGGACCTAGGGACACTGATGACAGATTAGTTCTGGCCGAGCGAGTCTTCGTAGGCCGAATGTGACCTCGTCAGAGGTCGGGATTTGAACTAAAACGCTCTCGTCTTGAGGATGGTCAAAACTATCGCCATTTAATGGACAAAGTGTCTGCCCGAAATCTAAGTTCAAGTCCATTTGGAAGAAACCGAAATGAAAGCTAAATGTTAGTCGTAAAGCACCGTTCACAATAGCCTGCGTGGCGGCTTGTCATTCGAAATAGAAGGAAAAAGGAAAAGCCTGAGAAACCTTGATGGCAAAATCTGGATTCATTTTTGACTCTTTTTTATACAGTACAACTACAAAAAGAGAGAAAGCGAGCCTTTTTAAGATAAAAAACGTTTTTCTCATTTCATCTCGTCCGTACGGAATAGTATAGCCCGCTTTTTAGCTAATGAAATCGTGTGTTACATCCGAGCTATGTAATAATATAGAATATTTTTATACACAATAGGCGATCCGAATTGGTCTTTATATTATGTAGAAGGTGCACCGAAAAGGAATTTTGTTAGAGAAGAATTACAGGTAGGTATGGATACTCACCTACCTTCAGAAAATGCTACATAGGCGCTCTATTTTTAACAGCTTAGTTAAAAATAGATCGAGCTGGTAAAATATAATTGTAGGGAAAAAATGTCTGCGAGTCCCTTTTATCCACTACTGAAGTAGTGATGAAATTAATATCAAAGTCTTGCGAGGTCAAAATACTCAATATATCAAAGGATTTTTTCTTTTGTTTCGAACAAGACTATTGGATTACATCTTCCGTGAGTTGAAAGCCCAGCACTTCGTAAGTGACGTTAACTAAACGGCTTTTCATGGAAGTCACTATAAGACAGTACACGGAAAAAAAAAACATTTATAGCGGTGATACGACGACAAAAAATGCATTTCTCTGTAAAAACTATTACACGATTAGATATTTATTATCATATCATGTGTCAAGAAAAAAAGTAAATATATGAAGTTTTTTTATTAAAGATTTTGATAAAATTACTGAAAAATGGCAATACAAATAGTCAAATATCGCTAAAAATCAATCAATGCAATAACACTATTAACTATTTGTAGTCGATGTTTCTCATAACAATTTTGCAATGCAACGTCCGTAAATGTGACATTTTCACGACATTTAACACTTATTTACTGGGACCGAGGGAAACAGTATGTTTTGTGGTCCCGAGACCGGAGGGAAACATCAGCGGTCGAGGGACCGCAATACATACTGTTTCCCGAGGTTTCCAGTAAATAAGTGCTTCATTTTCATCTCAAGTGTCAAAGAGAGCAAAAAAAAGTAAATATATGAATTGTTTTTAGTAAAGATTTTGATAAAATAACTGAAAAATGGCAATACAAATAGTCACTAAAATCAATCAATGTAATAACACAATGAATACTAATTTAACTATTTGTAGTCGAAATTAAATGTGTCATAACAATTTTGGAATTGCAACGTTCGTAAATGTGACATTTTTACGACACTGAAGATTGTTGTTCTGTGACTTTGTACTTATTGACGGTCCGCAACATATTATTGACCGCTGGTGGACAGTTGCCGGGAAATAGTAAAATTTTGTGACTTTCACGTGGTACACTCTCGACCAATAAGATACTAGGAAAAGTGAATATATAATATAGTCTTTTATTTGCGCCCACGTTTAATAGATATAATTTTACATGACATAGCAGTGCCATTAACTACTTTACTTCAAGTGATTAATTTTAACAAATTTATGATAATTGTGGACAGCTATATATAACCATGCATATATTTTTTTCAAATGACCAGAATAATCTTGTATAGTTTAATACCCCTTGACATAATTTCGTGAAGCAAAAGACAAAAATTATACACAAAATCACTTCAACCCGAACTCAAACTTCAAAGCTTGCATGACTAAACTGAACAATCATATGTAGCAAAAAATTAGTTTCAAAACAAAATAAATGTTCGAATTTATTTTTTGCTTCGTGTCAACAACCACCAGTGGAATTTCTGCATGCAACAGCGAATGGTCAAGGAGCATGCTTGGAGGATATATTTTTGATATATATATTAATTTTTACCAAAGTATACTTCACTTATATATTATAATAATTTTCTGCTCGCAATTTGCAAAGTATTTCCCATCTCTGATTACAGAATAYGTTTTGATTAAATCCAAAAACTTCAGTACATCTTTAGGAGTGTTGTTTGAACGAAAATCTACTGCAAACCTTAAAAAATCAAGTATAGCGTTTCCTTCTTCAGACGTTTCGTCGAAAACATCAGAAACATCAAATTCGTGTTCGTTTGTATGTTCTTCGTACTTCCATGAATATTTCTGGATGACTGATAAAACAATCTTCAAGGTAGTAAGACCTAAATTATTGTTTTCGAATTCTACCAAATGCATCAAATTCTTTGGTCCCGTTAAGCAAAGGATCATCA